GGGGGGTGGGGGAGGGATTCCCACATAGGGACAAGGTTTTACCTCCTTTTCCCCGCCCCACAACGCGCTCTGGTTCTGGTCAGCTCAGCCAGGTCGTGCTGCCACCACTCCCAGGATGGCAGAGGCAACATAACGAAGAGGGAAAATGGGACCTCCTGGCCAGTACTTCCCACCCCTTCCCTCAGCATGACCCTGTGAGGCACAACGTGCTCCCTGAGTGGCAACTGGCTGGAAAGCAGGAGTGCTGTGGGTAGCTAGCACTGAGCCAGCAAACAAAGCCTGTCCACCCCTGGCAAAACCAGCAGCCCCTGCTGGAAGGGCACAGTGCAAGCTCCTCCTTACCCCGCCGGGTGCTGAACGCATCTCTGAGGTCTCCTGATAGACTTTGGGCCCATCGCCCAGGTTGGAGTAGGAGATGACAGTTGAGGAGGTAAATGTCTGGCAGTTAGCACCGCTTGTCATATGCTCCTGCAGGACAAAGTGGGCAGTGGCATAAGGAATGGGAGGGAAGAAGAGATGGCAGTTAATTTTCTCTCTCTGCAACAAAGTAGGAAGAAATCAGAACAGGAAGAACATAATCCCCATGGGTCCATCTTTCTGGAGAATACATCTTCCTGTTAAATTAATTTCCCGTTTCTTGCTGAACAAGTCTAGCCCCATACTTCCTTTCTCACCCATGTCTCCTCCCTGCACTCAGCAGCTAGACCTCAGGAACAAGATCTGTATCACTCCCTCCTGGTCAGCAAGCAAACCTTACAGCTTCTTCCACCTTGCCAGCTTGAGCACAGCCCAAATCAAAGCAGCACAATAAGATGAGAAACATTAGAGGGGATGGCAGGAGCACCCTCAGTACTCCCCTCTGTGCAGAGTGGCTTATGGAGGGTTCTTACCATGTTTCCAATCATGTCGTTCATCATCCCAAACATATCTATAAAGCCACCTGCCTGATAAAAACAAAAAGAGAACACAACAGTTAGTTTGCAAAGACACGGAGGAAAGAAGAGAACACAACAGTTAGTTTGCAAAGACACAGGAGGAAAGAACAACAAGCTACCTGCTGCCTAAGAAGAGCTCTTTCCCCTTTATTTCAGTAGTGCAGAAAAAAACAGGATTTGGGGTTGTTATTCTCTCTATTCTCTCAGGCTGCACTGTCCAAGTTTTCCGGCTGTCCAGATCTCTGGATACAGCAAAGGCTTTTATTTTTGTTTGGGTCTGACTCCTCATGCACTGGGGCTTGTGACTCCAGGCACCTGGCAAAGCTAAGAGAAGAAAACTCAGGTACACACTTAAGGGTGATCTTAACCATATGACAATGATCCTCAAGGATGTTTGTACCTCACCCCTGTCAACTCTTAATTTAAACCACAAGGAAGCTTCCACTGATTGTATTTCTTCTAACATAATGACAAGTTCTCTTATTTTAAACATCTGACTTTTTAATCTTGTAAACCTAAAGGCTGCAGTAATACACTGGGCCAGCAGGTCTCACAGGTTAATTGTGCAATAAGTAAACAAAATTACTATGTCAGTTAAAACTTGCTGATTTCTTTGTTTCCTCAAGTAGCCTCTTGTTCTCATTTCCAGCAGAGCAGTACTCACATAAAGTGTTATTATCCTTTGAAGTCTATCTGTTTGTATTCTTATTAATCTTTCTCTGAGCAACAACAATTCCAGGACACTCCATCTTTCACTGATGCAACCCTGCAGAGCAGGCCAGGGGGGCTGGACTAGATGATCTCTCAAGGCCCCTTCCAACCCCTGACATTCTGTGGTTCTATGAAGCTGCTGGATCTGGAATAACCACTTCCACTGTACTATTTTGGTAGCTGAGGGAAATCAGGATGCTCCAAACGTGGTGTTCTCATATAGACACACAGTCATTCTCATTCCAGTCCTGAAGTATTCCTTTGGCTTTTCCATTTGCCACCACTGGCAAAGGGGGTTCAATCATCAACCTCTGCCTAATGATGGCCAAGTCTTTTCCCTGTGTTGTCACAGTTCTTCCATTCCCTCCAAACAGATCCACAGCTCATTTTCAGACATACGAGGTTATTATGAGACTACCTGCTCTTCCCTGATATTAACTGTCCCAATTCCTATGAAATATTGTGCTAGAACAGCTTTTGGGCTCTTCTCTGGTCAAGCTGCAAATACAATCTCACCACAGAAACAGAGGGACAATCTTTCCTCTAAAACAGCTCCCAGATTAGATTAAAACATTAGAGGGGACTGAAGGGAAACTCCTGAAGTCACGTAGCAACTCAATGAGAGAGGTCCAAGAGAAACCAGCTGCCTCCAGTTTCAGTTCAATACCCTCTTCAGTATTCTCTTCACTATAAATCTGGAGCTCACTCTGGTCTCTGCACATCTTCCCACCCTCACTACCCTTTGGATAGATGGTCTTGGTCACAGATGGCTACATTTTAGCACCAGTTGTACACAGCACTGACGAATCTCAGTATGAAGTCACTATTTGGAAAGGCTCTAATGTAACCCAGAAAAATAAGAGAACTTACCATGCCAAGCATCCCAAAGGGTGAAACAGCTCCTGCCTGCCAGGACAAGAGAAAAACAGAACCGAGAATGACCTTGCAACAGCAAATCACTAGATCCTTCTCAGAACCCCCTCCTTCTTGGAAAAAGAACTGGGGATACTCAGGCCCAGAAAATACCCCGCAGACTCACGGTGGTTCAAACTGTACCACCCCTAACAGCCCAGGCAGGTGCTGCTCCTAAATTTCTCCCAGTTACACTGATTTATGTCCTTGAGAAAGAACACATATTTCTTCCCATCCTCCCACCCAGCCTGCAACACATTCAATGTTCGAATGCACGTGGAGGAAAGGAAACTGCAGGGTACCCTCCCCTGCCCTCAGTGCCCGTGTTACCTGCATCCTGCGGCCGGGCTGGCGAGCTCCAGGTGCGGTGCCATCAGTGATGCCAAGGAGGGGGCCAAAGCCAAAGCTTCCAGAAAGCATGCGGTTCATGTGCTGCCGGTGGATGGCAAAAGGGTCCCTTTTGGAAAGGTGGAGAGGTCAGCGGTGAGGAAGGGAGGGGAGAAGAAAAAGCCCTGCATAAGCCACACATGACGAGCTCCAGTTTCTCTTATGTAACTGCACGTGCCTTTCAAGGCTGAAAGCCCAGGATCCCAAGAACTCAGTGTTGCTTATGAGGATTCCTGGAAGGGACCTCTGAAACCCATCTTATTTCATAGAATGGTTTGGGTTGGAAGGGACCTTATAGATCATCTAGATCCAACCCCCCTGCATGGGCAGGGACACCTCCCACCAGACCAGGTTGTTCCAAGCCCCATCCGACCTGCCCTTGAACACTTCCAGGGATGGGGCTTCCACAACTTCCCTGGGCAACTTGTTCCAGTGTCTCATCATCCTCTTAGTAAAGACTTTCCTCCTAATGTCCTAACCTAAATCTCCCCTCTTCCAGTTTAAAGCCATTCCCCCTTGTCTTCTCACTACAAGCCCCTGTAAAAAGCCCCTCCCCAGCTTTCCTGTAGCCCCTTCAAGTACCTGAAGGCCACAGAATCCCTCTAAGGCACTAACTGATGTCAAAAGTCATTTGGCATTCTGCTCCCACTTCAGGGCCCAGTATGACCATGGCTGTTCTAGAACCACACTGCTCTAACAGATGGAACCCACTTTGCAGATCTGCAGTTCAGGTACCACCATAATTCCATAATCCTTTCCTCTTGCACCATCAAAACACTTCACCTTAACAGCACTGCAAAGCAATCAAACCCCCCCAGAAGAGCAGCCTTTGATTTTGCAGGGAGGTTCACAAAGACCCTCTCAGCTGCAAAGAGAAAACTATGCTTAATGGGACCAGGGAGTGTGCCTTCCTAGACACTCTCCTCTCATCCCTTCACATATGTGCACACAAAACACGCTCAAATGCAAGACTGAAATCTCCAGAACACACTGTATGGCCTGACACTGCATGACATCCCTCCACCACAAGTGATCCTCATCTGCTATTTTCCTATAATATTATGGGAACCCCAGCCAAGAGACTTAAGAATGCAGGCAGCTTTTGAGGCAGGTTTGAGAGGGAAAGGGAACAATAACTGGGGTCCCTAACTGGTTTTCCTTCCATTCCTTCTTTTGCAGCCTCCACTTTTGAGGGCTACACGCATTCACACACGTTGAAGGAGCAAGGAGAGAAAAAGGAGAATAGGGACAGTGAGAGAAGGCAGTGACCACAGTGGAAAAAGTCTGGGAAATACCACAGCATTTCCCTGCACATCTTACAGTCTGCACTTACCCTTCCTGAGTGTGAATAACCTCAGCCACATATAATATTCCTGAGATCACAGAAGCACCTGCTACAAACCAGTACTTTTCTGTCTCTCCTGGAAATGCTTGGCATAATAGAAGTTAGACTCATACCTGCCACAGTCATTCTCTGACTAGCTGGGACATCAAGGGCTCTCTTCTGCTAATTTGTTTACAGCTGATAAAATTATTGCTTATTAACATTTGTATAAGCAAAACCTGGACTTTATTCTTCTACACAAGCTCATTCCACCACGTTTCTAGTGGGGCCATGCTTAACACCATCCAACTCTCACTGTACTGCAGTCTACTCCTTATCTGCTTGGGCAAGGACTGCCAACTTAAGTCTCATTGCCAAAATTTATCAGTAGCTTCCCATTTCCCACTTCTGTGGACAGGAGCAGTGACATTCAGGAAAAGGAATCCCCGGGAAAGATCTTGGGACCTTTGTTAAAGATTTCAAGCCTTGTATTTCAAAACTACTTGCTGCCTCCTGTTTACTTGGCTCCTCAGAGGCTGACAACTCCTCTAGCAGTCCTCTCTAGCTCCGGTCATGACTTCCTGTGCAGAACAGCAAAAAAAAAACACAACAAAACACCGGGCAGAACAGGCAGATATTATCTATCTAAACTGAAACCCCACTTCGCAGAAGCAAAACAAACCAACACAGAACCTTACACAAAAGACGAGGCACCCCAGCTCTCTCCCTCTCGGCTGCAGGGCCTTCTGGCCTACTTTACCGAATCCCGCTTCCCTCCGAGCCCGCGCCCTGCCAGGGAAACCAGCCCAGCGCGAACCAGGTTATTCCCCGCGCAGCCCCGACGGGGGGGGATGTTCGTGCTTCCTTCCCCCCGGGGAGCTGCTGCGCTGCGGGACCTCCCCGGGACCTGACCAAACGCCTGTTTTTTTTCCCCCAGCCGGGAGGTCCCTGCGATCCCAAGGCCCTCCCCGCCCCCAGCCCCGCACAAG